TGCAACTGGGCTGCTTGAGGGCGCCTGGAAACTGGAGTGATGAGATTTGCTTCACTCCAGCCACCCATGGATGTCCCACCCATGCTCACGGTGGAGCATCCCTGGGCTGGCATCCAGCGTGAAATGATACGGGTGCTGTGCCGAGAGCAGCATCCCCACTGCACTGCTGCTCCACTGTGGTGCTTACTGGTCCTGGCTTTTTTTCCCGCAGGGTTGCAGACCAGGTTTTAACCAGTTAACATAAATGAGCTAACTTAAGGACACTGGAGAACAAGGTAGGAGCTTTTTCTGTTCCTGTTTGCCCTCTTAGGTGAGGCAGAGCACTGCTAGCAGCAGCCTACAGCACCCACTGGATGATGCACAGGGATGCCACGTTTCCTGCACTGCCCTTAAATCCCAGGGTGGCGTTTAGGGACTCCTGGCCTCTCTGCTTTGCTGTCAGTCTGTGCTTTCTGTGCTGCTCTGGTAGAGACAGATGACCCTGCGTTTACTGTAACCGTGTTGCTTAAGTACCGATTGGCAGCTTTCTCAGGGGAAACCAGAATCCTGCCCACATTTAACACCCCAAAGCCAACAGCACCATGGCCATCTAAGCACAAGAGGCACTGGCCACGAGTCTGGGGTGTGCCAGAGGTGCTGCTCACACACAGCTTTTTAAAATGCATTTTCAGCGATGAGTGACACCACCTTATGCTCTCGGTGACTGGTGTAAGCATGACTCAGTCCTGACTCACATAGCGTCAGCGAGTAGCACCCACCCCCCCAACCTGCTGAGCAAGGAGCTGTGTCCACCCGCTCCCTGTCCCATCCCATCCAACCCTCCCAGCGCTGCCTGTGGGCAGGAAAACAAACCAAACCTGAAACCTCACCAAAAAAGCAAGCTGCAGTCACTGGCTCTCTGTTGGAAGGGAGGCACAGGGGCTGGGGACAGGACGCTGCCCTTGGCTCAGTGAGCCAGAAGAGGACAGTGGTATGTAGAAAGGAGCATTCTGCTGGGGATGCCCAACCATGGCAGAAAAGCAGGAAGGCAGAGATGGAGTGGGTTGGACTCAGCACAGTTGAAGCACACGTGGTGAACCAAACTAAAAGCCAGCAGAAGGGACCCAGTCTTGCATCTGTTGCCATAAGAAACCTCATGGAGTCTGACTTTGTGCTAAACTTCTTTAACTGTTATCATTACAACTATGTAAAACACAGCATCAAATACTCTGGTTGGATCAACGTAAAAAGGAATGATTGACTTTTTTTTTTCCCCTCCCAAACTTCCTTACAAAAAAACAACACCCAAAAGAAAAAAAAACACAGACATAAATTTTTTTTTTTTAAAGTAATAATTATAATACATTAGAAAGAGTCATGGAAGAAGCGTTCCACGCTGTAAACAAGAATAGCAATTAAAAAGAAAAGCAGATGGTAGCCGGGGCTCTCCAAGTGCACAGCTGAGAGACCCTGACCTCAACCTCCATCCCACCCTGGAGCTGGTCCCCAGCGCCGGTCCCTGTAGCTCCTGCTGCCTACGGCCACCACAGCCACTCAAAGTGCTCAATTACAAACCAAAAAAAACCAACCTCCAAACCCACAACGTTGGTCTTTAAAACTATATGGAGGGCAGCAAGGCAAGAGCCGTGTCAGGGCTGCGAGGGCAAGGACAGGGTGAGCTGCTTTCCTGAGTCTGCTGGTGGTAGGAGTGGCTTTTGCTGAGGAGCAGAGGCTGGGGCAGGGGGGCAAGTGGCTCGGGCCAGTTATTTGACCTGCTGAGCTGCCACCCTCTTCCCTTTCTATTCTCAGCAAAAGAGCTGAGAGAGGCCCATGTCCTGCCAGCCTCTGCTGCCACAGACCTGCCATGGCCATGCCTTCGTCTGCAGCAAGAGGCAGAGGAGGAGAGAGGATTGGTCATCTCTTAGTATTACGCTCTCATGTGCTGAAGTGAGAGCATCGCTTCAAGGAAAGCACTGCACAGTGCTGGATCCCAGACAGCTTGGGCTGCTTTGCCCCTTCTGGGGCTGCAGGTTAAAGAGCTGCTTGGGTGGCACAGTGAGGAGTTTGGAGACCTTCCCAGCGAGAAGCACACTGGTGGCCACAGGGAGCCTGTATCTGCCTGGTCCAAAGGTCACTGAAAACAGCCGGTGGCTACCCTCAGGCTTGGAGGTGACTGAGGACCTTGTTGCTCATTCCCTTTAGGGCTTGGAAGGGAGGAAACCTCCCAAATTCTTGTTGAACACCATGCACCAAATGCTACGCAATGGGTACTGTGCATTTGACAGCTCTCCAAGATTAGAGCAAAGCACCTTTTTAAATCTGAATACTGCAAAACATCTCAGACACATGCTGCATGAGGAGCCCAGGCACATGTGCAACATGATGTGTAAAGGCTGTGTGCCCGAAATGAGGGGAAAAAGATCAAAGTCAGGGGAACGAGCTCTCGGCTCTTGCCCATGTGAGCCAAACACTCAGACACATTAGCAGGCGTCTTATGTTTGCTTCAAGGACAGACTGCCAAGCTACAGACACCAAGCAAAGAGGTGACCACTAGCCCTCAGATGTTTCTCATTGCTTCCCAGCAAGCTCCAGAGGCCAGCGAGCTGCTAGCCAAAGGCAATCAATACTTGTCCTGAAATACTGCCCAAGTATTTTAACACAAGTAGGTTTAACTACTGCACAGTTATGGAAAATCGTACTCCAACTTAAAACCAATTCAAGCACCATTGTCCTAGAAAGGACCCGTGGTGTCGCAGAACCCAAATACTGAACATTCCTACAGCACTTCTCAAAGAGCAATTCTTGACTCTGCACAACACCCCTGCGAGGTAGCTGAGTAGGGTTATCCCTGCGTTGCAGAGGGAGCGACGACAGGCAAGGCTGGAGACTCAGCAGTCTCTGACAGAGCAGGGGTTACAACAGAAGCTGAGGGTGCGACGGACTGGCTGCCTACATCCAAAGAAAGATGTGGTACTCCTGCTGACACTCTCCCTGCTGCTAACAGAAACCACCACATGCACACAAGATTAAAAAACCTTGATAACCCGCACAAAGTAATTTAGTGCAAGTTTTCCACTGGGCTTCCAGGTAGGCTTCAGATCAGGCTGTTAGTGAAGCAGCCTGTGAGATAAACCCAGTTTTTAAAGTCTCCTTAGAACTTAAAGGAGCTTTTGCCCAGGGTCTCCACTGAAGGGACAGAAATCCCACCTGCAGTCCCACCTAAGGTGGCATCTGCAGCCACCCCTTCTGGACAGCAGAATCAAATACAGCACATCCGGACTAGTTTTTTTCCTGCTGCTTCAATTGATCTTCCTTCCTGATGAAGTCAGGAAGTCAGTGGGGTAAGCCAGCTCTGGTTCCCTGCACACCTCCAGCCAATGGTTTGGGCTGTGCACCCTGGGATGGGGAGGAGACGGACAGGCCACCACGACTTGGTGCATGAAGGGCAAGTGGGTATATGTGGGCACCCATCGTGTTACTTCCTTAGCCGTGGGCTGTGGTGACATTGATGCTCTACAGCATCACCTTCCAAACCTCTGTGCCCAGGTTTCCTTCCTTCGTTGTTGACTTCTGGGTGGGCTAAACCAGAAGGGCTGAGAGCAGGTTCTGGGCAACGTGCTGCCCTTCCCCAACTCCCATGCTGTTTCCACCCTGACACTTAACTTGCTTGAAGTAAAAGCAGGTTTCAGCTTGGGCACTGTGATTAGACACCATCACCCCTCTAGCAGCTTGCCAGTGAAGGCAGGAGGTTTCCCAAGGCAGCAGCTCCTTTTCCTGCTCAGCCAACGGAAAGACAGTGAGCCTGCTCACCGCCCTGGACCTGCGAGAGAAGGGCCACTCAGCCCACGAGACCAGGCTCAACCTTCATTGCTGTCCTTGTCATCTTGAGAACTTGAGAAAGAACCACCCTGCTGATGGTCCTCCACTGGAGTCACACCACGGAGACCCCCCCCAGGGACTCACCAGCTGTTAAACCTCCCCTCCGGGACACCCGCCGTGGCAGGAGCGGGGTACAGCCAGGCACTGCTCTCTGGAGTAGCACGGAGTAGGCAAGGGCTGCCTGCGCCCTGCCGGAACACCATGGCCCTGCCTGAAGGTGCTGCTGCCTACAGTGGCGGGGCTGGGAAAAGAAAGAAAGGTCTATTGCTACGAAAGCCTTCGAAAGCAACGCTGTTGGCTGCACTGATGGGCATGTTAAGGAAAGCATTTTGGACTCCTGTGCCTTGCACCCGCTTCCATGGCCACGGGTACCTGCAGTAGGCGGGAGCAGAAGAAAACCCAATGCATTCACCAGCCCTGCCTCTGCTCCCCCTAACATGCTGAGGCTCGGGGAGCTTCGAGGAACAAAAAACAAAAGCACTTCCCCGTTTGTCCATAGGAAAGATGCAGACCTAATTTGCTGGTGCCTCCTGGCACCGGTGGCCACTATCCATCTCCTCACCCACCGCTCGTACCAAAGCACAGCTCAACAGGCAACGGCTGCTGGGCCATCACCCCGC